AATTTTCTCAGAAGACCTATAGTTTTACTGAGTCATGCGACTTCGGTAATATCGAAAAAAATTAATATTGCGGTATGACGGTATTTACAATACCGTTACATCCCTAATATATATATATATATATATATATATATATAGATATATATACACACACATAATATATATATATATATATATATATATATATATATATGTATATATATGGCATGAAAAGTTTTTTGAAAAGTTTTCACCAAAATAGAGAAACCGTTTCTAAGTTTTTTGTGTAAACAAATTTTTACAATACTTTAGAAATGCTCAAAAATGTATCTGTCAATGTGTTAAAACAATTATATTTGATTTACCAAAGTCACACAAGTGTCAGTTTCACATCTGTCACATCCATAACAGAGAGACGTCACATCCATAACAACACTTTTTCCTCATAAATGCAAAAATGTCAAACAAAATAAAGTCAATTATCTTTGTTCTATAGAGATCCAACTCTTATCTTTTTTATTAGCATTATTTATTTTGGGTTGTGTAGTTTAATTCACAGAATTTCTACAAATTATAGTGTGCACTGTCAACTCGCAGACTTTTTTGGTCGCATCCATAACGCATATTTATTTTTCTCATTTAAAGTACAAAACATGCTTATAGATTGATATTCTTCTGGTCCCTTAACTCTGTGGTCAGTTGTTCTGGAAAATATAAACAGATGTTTCAATAAATATAAAATATAAACTAACATATACTTTCTATGTGAATTTGTTTTGAATTTTTACTGCAAATAAATATATATATACTGCAAAATAATATATATATATATATATATTACCTAATATGCAAAAAGGTATAAATACATTTTGGTCCCACTTCATATTAAGTGGCCCTAACTAATATGTACTTACACAAGAATTAATAGTTTGTTACAATGTACTTATTGTGTAAATATATGTATTTACTGTGTACTTATGCTTGATTAAATACATGTATGTAATAACACCTGTAATTAACTTTTGTGATTACATTTGTAAACACAATGTTGACCAGCCCTTACACCTTAACCCACCCTTAAACCTACCCATACCACCAAACCTGTTTATAACCCAACCCAACTTAAGAGCACCACAAGTGTACTCAAATACATTTTGAACACAGTAAGTACATTGTATTTATTTTTTGATGCAAGTACGTAGTAGTTAAGGACACTTAATATAAAGTGGGACCTACATTTTTTTATAATCATACTTCATAAAAAAACAGTCTGCAAAACAATTTGATTGACATTCTTCCTTTGTACATCTCATCAGATACGGAATGTCCCACCCATTTTTGACATTTTTGATGTTAGTCTTGCTTTTCAATCTGCCACTATGCTGACAGGTAATTGTAGTTCCATCTTTTTTTTTAAAGAGGTCTGGGAGCACAATCTCATTCTCAGGAATCACAGAATTTCAAAATCGCTGGTTGCCTTTCTGGGCACTCTTCAGTTTTTGGTAGCCCAGATATAAATGAAAGTAGCCCAAATAGAAAATACATTATTTATTAAATGCAAATTCAAACATACATTTAAATTATTAAATAAAACTACATAATGGGATTTGTTAAAAGCTGTATTTTTATTTTGTTTTAATAACCAACATTGTTTTATTTAATTGATGTTTTTAATATACCCCAAAATAATTTTACAAGTAGGCTGTTATTTCATTACAGTCTGACTGACTAGCTAACGTATATCTATATCTTAATATTGAATAAGTGCATAAATAGTTTTGATTTTGCATAGCTTAGACCACAGGTGTCAAACTGAGTTCCAAAAGGGCCGCAGCTCTGCACAGTTTAGTTCCAACCCTAATTAAACACACCTGATCAAACTAATTGAGTCCTTCAGGCTTGTTTGAAACCTACGGGTAAGTGTGTTGGAGCAGGGTTGGAACTAAACTGTGCAGGACTTCGGCCCTCCAGGAATTGAGTTTGACACCCATGGCTTAGACAGACCTAACATGATGTGAAACTTGTTTACGAACCAAAAGAAAGACGTGTCCTATTAAAAAGCACAGTTCTTTAAAATTCTAAGGTAAGAAATAATTGTACAGTATGTTGATAGTTTCTGAATAAATGTCAATGTAGCAGCCCCATGGCATCAAATAAGGAGGCAGAGAGTTCTCACTGATGCTTGCACGGTGATTTATTTTAACAGCATGAAACACTGCAAAGCTTCACTTGTCACCGTGTTGACAAGAACAGCGTAAAACTACACAAACCGAAAAAAAACATTGTAAACAAATCACAAGAACAGAAAGCATAATATAAACAGACATTCACAATACAAACAAACACAGTGCACCATTTAAACACAGTGCACAATTCAATAAACAACATCAAAGTAGCTGCAAACAATTATACAAACATACCTCGTTCCGCTTTGCCATAAAAGGGGAGCTAAATGGTTCTCATTCGTTTAGCTGCTGGAGTATGCTGCTCATATTTATTTTCAGCGCGAGACAACAAACACCTGTTACACACCGGCCAATGCTGATTATGAGGTGCTGGATGGGGAGCTGCTAAGCCCAAATTACAGGCCGTTGACCTCTAGTGGTGACTTAAGGATAGGGAGGATGGAGGTCATTACAGTCAACCTCAAGGTATTAAAAAACCTTCAAGATATGTCTGTAATTATTTTGAAAGCCATACTTTGTTGAAATCTTTATTTGGTGCAGAGGAAAGAATATGTCTGTGGTGTGTGATGGCTAATGGATTCAGTCAGGATATTCTGTTTACGCTGCCGCTATGTTAAAGAGATTGTAAATGTGAAACATATGTTTATTACATTTAAAACTTAGCACATGCTAATTCTGTATCTGAATTTTTGTCTCAATATGAAAACATATTTTTTTGGACAATATGAAACATATATTGTTCTATGATTAGTCCACCTTCACCGTCTTTCCCACATTAGGCCGATTTATGGTGTGGGGATGCCCCAAAGAAGCATACATCCAGAATGAAGCATGGGGTGGATCAGTGATTTGGTTTGGGCTGCAATATCATGGCATTCCCTAGGCGTAATTCTTGTGCTAGATGGGTGCATCGCTGCTAAGGACTACCGAACCATTGTGGAGCGAGTGGTTCAAAGATTGTATCCTAATGGTGGTGCTGCTGTGTATAAGGAAGATAATTCAACAATACATACAGCAAGACAGAGTGGTTGACAGTGAAAGTGAGGTTTAACATTTCCCTTGGTCTGCGCAGTCACCAGATTTAAATATTGTTTAGGCACTTTGTTGTGTTTTGGAATCGTGAGTCAGGAAACATTTTCCTGGGGCAGCACGGTGGCACAGTGGATAGCATGATCGCCTAACAGCAAGAAGGTCGCTGGTTCGAGGCCAATGACTGTAAAAAATATGGACGACGCGACAGCCCTTTTTCCCATTGAACGCCTTGAGGGCAAAACGCCTGCTTGACGGGCACAAACTGTCGCAAAAGACTGCTGAAATTGGAGCCTTGACATGCGCAGAAGGACTGTCTGATGGAGCCAGAGGAGGAGCCGCGAAAATGAGCGGAGTCGAGCTTCCAACCAAACGCTTTATGTAAAATCAACCACGCCCCCCGAACTTCTCAGCATGCGTTTGCTGTCATATAAACACAAATGGATGTAATAACGTTAACAAATATGAGGGTTTTATATATTCAATCGCGCCAGCTCCAGGCCGCAGCGCATAACCTACTCGTGGCGTCGCGGGCTGATTCCGGCTCGCATGCGGCAGCGCCGGCTCGCTCGGCCGCCGCATCTGGCTCGATTGACTCGGGCTGGAATTGGGTAGTGAGTCCAGGCATCCGGAGTAGGTCCAGCAGAGGTTACATTAGTCAGTCTGAGCTCTAAGAGATAAGTCTCCGGCAGGCGAGAATCTAGCCGGAACTGTGTTTTGCTATCTGGGTGGCTAGGCGTGTATCAGCAAACTAATAAAGCCCGAAAAAAGCCCTGACCTTAGCGAATAAACAGTGTTCCACCAGGATCATGTATGTCAGAAACTATAGTTTACTGCTGAACTCATTTTGTCATGGTAAAATAACACAGAAATCGAATAATAACATTTCAGTCTACTTCAGTCTCCTGCCGAAGCTCAGACGCGCTGCTTTGAGAAACTGTCAATCACAGCTGTCAATCAGGATGACACGCCCAGCATTAAATTACTGCTAAAAACAAACTGTTTACAAAAATGAAGATCTGCACCTATTTCAGCACAATAACCAGTGCCTTAATCGACCAGAACCATCTTTCGGGACATTTTATTGCAAGTGTAATAATTTTTTTTTATTTGGGCTCAAGTCTCCTTCATTAACACGGAGGAGGCAGGCTTTATGACTTGTACTGCAGCCAGCCCCCAGGGGGCGATCTAACGGCCGAGACCCTCACTCAAACGCAGGCTTGCGGCACACTTGTTCGAGGCCCCTCTGGGGTTAGTTTCTGTGTGGAGGATACATGTTCTCCCTGTGTTTGCGTGAGGTTCCTCCGGGTGCTCCAGTTTCCCCCACAGTCCAGACATGTGGTATAGGTGAATGGGTAAGCTAAATTGTCTGTAGTGTTTGTGTGTGAATGAGAGTTTATGGATGTTTCCCAGTGATGGGTTGCAGCTGTAAGGGCATCTGCTACGTAAAACATATGCTGGATAAGTTGGCGGTTCATTCTGCTGTGGTGACCCCAGATTAATAAAGGCACTAAGCCAGGGGTGTCCAAACTCGGTCCAGGACGGCCAGTGTCCTGCAGATTTTAGCTCCAACTTGCCTCTACACACTTGCAAAGATGTTTCTAGAAAACCTAGTAAGAGCTTGATTAGCTAGCCCAGGTGTGTCTGATTGGGGTTGGAACTAAGATTTGCAGGACACCGGCCCTCCAGGACCAAGTTTGGACATGCCTGGACTAAGCCAAAAAGAAAAGGATTGATTGAATGAATGAATGAATTAATAAACATATATAGTATGCATTATACTGCATGTAATAAGTTACATTAAGCAGCATTTTACCACCAGATTTCTGTCTCTTGTCCTGTAGAAAGGTGGTGCAGCCCTCCGACGTCCACTCTAAGAAATTATGGGAGTGCAGCCACAGGTAACAGAAGACGGTCTGGTTCTGTCGCGGTGCATTTCAGAGATGTCACTCAAGCTGAAGGGGAGGTATGACTATATATTTGACTATATACCTTAGCACCAGACTTAACTGAATTAAAGGATATGCTTTGTTTGCACTGGAGATACATTAAAATGGCAAGTTTGATTTAGGTTATTTTGTTGTCGCACTGGGTAATATGGCCAAAATCTTGTTATAAATCAAGATTGACAGTGTTTAACTTTGTAGTCCAGCATGTCTTTTTTTAAAATCCAGAATACTTATCTGAGGCCCAATCTCACTTCTACCTCTTAGCCCTTCCACTTACCCCTACCCCTCGTTTTGCACGTTCACGGTTTTGAACAAGAGAAGGATTAATAAATGATGACAGATTTTAAGGCCCAATCCCAATTCTACCTCTTAGTCTTTCCCCTTACTCTTTTTATGCGCGTTCACATGAAGGGGTAGGGGTGTCCCAATTCTCTTTAGCTTGAAGGCGTAGGGCTAAGTAAAAGGGGTGAATAGCCCTTTAAATGAAGATTTTTCAGTACCACACTCGAAAATTTCCCAGAATACACCAGCTACAACGGCAGATATTAACACCTGGAAGTAAGGAGATCCAAAAATTAGTATTTTTTGTCATTATTACGAATTTTTACAACAAACAAACATGTTTTAATATATTTATAACCATGTTCGTGTTTTACCGTCATGCTTAAAAGAAAAAAAACCCCGCTAAAATAAAAAACGCTAAATTTCGCTATCTATAATCCATAATAATAACTCCTGTTCAGCAGTCCCACAACATTCTGACACTCGATGACTCTCGAATACCCTGTCAGAAACATCTAGTGGCTGGGAATGGGCATTTTACAGTGTCTGCTATAATGTTAATGTTGTTTTTGGTGTGTTTACGTTGATTAATATGGCCACTGTGTTAAATGCACAGTACAGTTATGATCTTATTGCCACATTAGATCTTTACGATAACATAATATATGCCTTCAGTGATTTCCTGAAGATAAATACCAATAAATAAAGCAGCTGGAATAAATGCAGCAGTCGCGATCATCTGATCGCATATGAAGCAAGTGATCGCAATGACACGTGCAGGTGCTGTAGTGCTGTCCCAATTCTTAGAAGTAAGTTTTGAAGCCCTTCCATTTCACACTCGGTTTTAAGGGCCAAGGGGAAGGGTAGGGGGTAGGGGTACAAAAATTTAATTGAGATTGGACCTTAATCAAATTAGATTTTTTTAGCTAGTTTGATGTATTTGTAATGTGTTCAGTCATAACAAATAAGGATTATGCTTTTCATGCCTCCATAAGTCATGGATATTATTAAGAAAAGTAGAAACATATCAATTATCGGTCCCACTTCTAAATCTTACTCTTTCCCCTTACTCTTTTTATGCGCGTTCACATGAAGGGGTAGGGGTGTCCCAATTCTCTTTAGCTTGAAGGCGTAGGGCTAAGTAAAAGGGGTGAATAGCCCTTTAAATGAAGATTTTTCAGTACCACACTCGAAAATTTCCCAGAATACACCAGCTACAACGGCAGATATTAACACGTGGAAGTAAGGAGATCCACAAATTAGTATTTTTTGTCATTATTACGAATTTTTACATCAAACAAACATGTTTTAATATATTCATAACCACGTTCGTGTTTTACTGTCATGCTCAAAAAAAAAGAAAAATGCTAAAATAAAAAACGCTAAATTTCGCTATCTATAGTCCATAATAATAACTCCTGTTCAGCAGTCCCACAACATTCTGACACTCGATGACTCTCGAATACCCTGTCAGAAACGTCTAGTGGCTGGAAATGGGCATTTTACAGTGTCTGCTATAATGTTAATGTTGTTTTTGGTGTGTTTACATTGATTAATATGGCCACTGTGTCAAATGCACAGTACAGTTATGATCTTATTGCCACATTAGATCTTTACGATAACATAATATATCCCTTCAGTGATTTCCTGAAGATAAATACCAATAAATAAAGCAGCTGGAATAAATGCAGCAGTCGCGATCATCTGATCGCATATGAAGCAAGTGATCGCGATGACACGTGCAGGTGCTGTAGTGCTGTCCCAATTCTTAGAAGTAAGTTTTGAAGCCCTTCCCCTTCACACTCGGTTTTAAGGGCCAAGGGGAAGGGTAGGGGGTAGGGGTACAAAAATTGAATTGAGATTGGGCCTTAATCAAATTAGATTTTTTTAGCTAGTTTGATGTATTTGTAATGTGTTCATTCATAACAAATAAGGATTATGCTTTTCATGCCTCCATAAGTCATGGAAATTATTAAGAAAAGTTGAAACATCAATTATCGGTCCCACTTTATATTAAGTTGCCTTAACTAATATGTACTTGCACAGGAATTAATAGTTTGTTATAATGTACTTATTGTGTAAATACATGCATTTACTGTGTACTTATGCTTGATTAAATACATGTATGTAGTTACATCTGTAATTAACTTTGGTAATTACATTTGTAAACACAATGTTGACCATCCCTTATACCTTAACCCACCCTTAAACCTACCCATACCACCAAACCTGTCCATAACCCAACCTCTATCCCAACTCAAATGCACCACAGGTGTTTGCAAATACATTATAAACACAGTAAGTACATTGTATTTATTTTTTGATGTAAGTACATAGTAGTTAAGGACACTTAATATAAAGTGGGACCCAATTATCTTATAAATTCCTTAATATAAATTGTTCCAGTTAACAAGGAATCCTTAATTTGAGTTAATTTTATGAATTGAAATGTCATGAAAACTTTTATAGAATATTTATCAAAAAACCATTATTCAATAAAATGTTAAATATAGCTATTTGAACAATGTTTTTTTTTAACTGGCAGCCAGAATTACTTTGTTTAATGCCATAATTGTAATTTATCAGCTTTATTTTATTAGCTTCCCATGCATTTATTATGTATCAGCTGTGTCACAGGCTCACCTGTTGACTTTTTCTCTCGTCTCTCGTACATGTGTAAAAAAATATAATAAAAAAAAAAAAAAAAGGACCCGCACCTGTCTTAAATCAAACAATACAGTGGAATTGTCGAGTAATTAAAACTAACTTTGCAGAATTACAGCATTTACAGTAACTTGCTTATTGTATTCAGAAGACCCATTTATCTTTAAATGATGCCTTGACTTTTAAAATTTAAATGATTAGTGTATGTGGACCGGATTTACAGTGGTCTTCTGGGGGATCAGCTGTCTTGGTAAAAAATGTTCTAATCCTCAATCAAATTGAATTGGATACCCAGTTACAAGCAATAGCGGTTCAATTTACTCTTCGTAGTGCTATTACATTATATTCCTATTTAGATTTCCCCTCACGAAGCTGTAATACCTCAAGAACTGGATAAAATTGTTTCACCGTTACATTCCATAAATAGTGTACCCATTGGGGATTTTAACAGTCACAAACCTTAATGTGTTAAAGGCCTTTTTGATGTCAAAGGAAGAAGAAGGAACATTTTTATAGAACATAATTATTTACGTCTATTGAAAAAAATCTTTATCTAAGTCATGATATGCTGCAATTTGGCAACATGCAGTGCTCATCTTTTACTAGATTATTCATAGAGGGTCTGGAATGACCATTGTGGGAGTGACCACTTTCCAATTATCCTCATATTTCCACAAATGAATGTACAACTTAGACCTTCAAAGTGGCCACTCAAGAAAGCACACTGGCTCTTCTTTCAAGCTGTTGCAAAAAAAATATTTCAGCAATCCGAGAATATCAAAAACCTATAGAAGCATTCGCTCAGCAGTTAATTGCTATAGCAGACGTAGCAGTTCCAAGAACATCAACAAAACCTCAACGAAAAACCAATCCATGGTTTAATGAGCAATTTACTGTAATATAGCTATTTGAGCATGGGAAAAAAAGCTCTCATGAAGAGGATCTGGGATTCGTAAATTAAAGGGAATGGAAAATGGTTCTCATATACAACATATTAAAAAAACAAGGGATACCTCAGACAAATAGAAGATCATCAATAAGGAACTGCCTCCCTGTATTTCAACTAACATGAACACAGCAGGATTGTAAAGAACTGATTTTTTTTGAAAGTATACCAAGCTTAACACCAACTTTTTATGAAGGAAGGATCAATAAACTCATTTACATGTTCACATTACACTGCTAATGGTCCAGATAAAATTCATTATCAGTTCATAAAGAACTTACGGTATAGTTCACTAAAATATCAGCTTCCTGAAAAGAAGCAACAGTGATACCTACCTAAACCAGGACAAGACCACTCTGACCAAAATAACTATAGACCAATTGCTCTTACCAGTTTCTTATTTAAAACTATGTATATGTGTGTAAAACTATATAAATGTGTATATATATATATATATATATATATATATATATATATATATATATATATATATATATATATATATATATATATATATATATATATATATATATATATATATATATATATATATATATATATATATATATATATATATATATATATATATATATATATATATATATATATATATATATATATATATATATATATATATATATATATATATATATATATATATATATATATATATATATATATATATATATATATATATATATATATATATATATATATATATATATATATATATATATATATATATATATATATATATATATATATATATATATATATATATATATATATATATATATATATATATATATATATATATATATATATATATATATATATATATATATATATATATATATATATATATATATATATATATATATATATATATATATATATATATATATATATATATATATATATATATATATATATATATATATATATATATATATATATATATATA